GACATGATTGAGACCCTTTTACGAATAGCATAGTTCGTGCTTTATGTTGTGCGAGTAGTGAGCTATTTTTCTTTTGACTGGCTACAAAAATTTGGATAATATAATGCTGGCCCGGCAACCCAAACAACGCAACCATGGAGTTCAGACTGATTACTAAAATAGAGGTGGCCAAGTGTCGATCCTGTCTTTTTGAAGCATCTTTTTTGATGAGGATGATGATGATGCTATCCGAAGACCCCATTTTAGCCGGTAAAGCCTTTCATTAGTCTGATGGCAAGATTGCCACCAATGAAGTTGTTATGCGGCGAAAGCCGAAAAGTAGCACCATTGTTGGAGTGCACTTCGTTTAGTCTTGAGAGGCGAATGGAAGGAATTTGCAAATTGGCCTTACCGACGGCCGAAGAAAAGGATTGCTCTGGGATTTTGAATGCAAACTGTTGCAATTGAGTCTTCGGCAAACCTTCCTGCAACTTCGGTTGATCTGTGCTGACCTTGCATCGTCGTAGCAGGAAAGCATACTTTCTCATCATATCTTGAAGCACCCATATTGGACATGTAGTCAGAAGATGCAATTTACGGGACTGGAATCTACAAATTGAGGGTCCTACTCACAAGATGCATGGTTTGGTTGAAATGTCTACGGCTCTGACAGTCAGGCAATGGAGCTATTCCGGGAAAAAGCATTCCAGAAGGCTCTTTAGTCTATGCTTCGAAAAGAGTTGGGCAAGAAAGCTTAAAAGAATGCCAAAATTGGGAGTGTATGATAGAGGCGGAAGGGTCACATGGTGCATGTGGATAGGGTTGACAGACCCGAGTGTGTACCGGTTGCTTCAAGGTCTACCGTTCTGGATGGTCTAGAAAGGTGTCCATTGGGGGAGGGCACATTTCCCTCCTTCTCACTATTGTCTGATGTTTTCCATTCTGCGTGTACGATTTGCTATTTTGAGGTATTAACTGGTGTTCCATTGATCTTCAAGCATCACTACTTATCTTCACTCACTACTCACTTTCGTTATTCCTCCTTTATGCGCATTTTTAGTTTGTATTTCCGCTTCGCTCGCTTTCATTCTGCTTTTCTGGTTGTACTGCCAACGGTCATAGTTACTGCGTGGCCCCACTGTTTCCGAGGCACATTTTCATATTCATTCGCTACTCATCCCAACTGCATTGTTCTTTTCTACTTTCACTCTTCCCCGTCGAGCAGATTCCCCCTCCAATGCAAGTCTGCCCTACAATCATCAAGCCTGCACCAAGTCATCCTCGTCTCCCCCGGCTCCAACTCACGCCGCCCAGGAGGAGGTACAGCTAACGCCTCCTAAAGTCGTGTGTACAGAGTCCGTCTCTGTAGCTCCGCCGCCGCCGTTGCCTCTGATTCTCTGCTCAGACGCTGAGCAGACGCAAGCAGATGCCCAAGATGAGTCGCCCGGAAGGGCTGTTCCCGCTAGCGACGCCGCCGATGACGTTGCCGCCTCTTCGACAACATCCGACCACAACATAGACACAGCAACCGAGTCACTTGAGGAAGCGGAACGCGACGGTGTGGCAGCCAATGGCGACGCCGAGGCCGAGGTTGACGATGGGCGTTGTAAGGAGCCTTCGAACGATGAACACGACCACGAGGAGGCAGGGCCGGACATGCTGGCGTCCAACGATGCTGTAGACGAACATTCCAGGTATGAAGTTTCTATGGACAACGGCAGCTGAAGGGGTGGGGATAAGAGAGAATGCTTGGAAAAATAAAATTCCGTCTAAAAATGTGGGGGCTATGTCACTTGGTATTCAGTTTTTCAGGGTACTGGACTTTTTCCTTGTTACACTTCTTCAGAGGTTACCTGTTTTTTCTCCTTGAACTTCTTCTTATGCCTGCGAAACACTTAAAAATACTAGCTTTCCGCCTTTTTAAAAATTTAGGCGAGTCCTTTTAATTAAAAGCCTTTGACAAGAATTGTTCGAGTCAGCTAATGTGATACCGTGTTTTTCTTAAGTCTAATCTCAACCAAATCATGACGCGTCCACAAGAGTTGCCTTAGTTGTATGTATACGAAGAAAAGTTGGGTTTTGAGGAATCTCTTGTTGCATAATTGTTGAGCTCACTTCCATTTCGAGTGGAAGTGTTGGGTGAAGAGATTGGAAGGTCGGTTCTACCAGATGAT